ATGACTGTTTCTTCTATCCAGAGCTCAAATTAAGAGGATGTTGAGAGAGGATGGATGCTATTTCTCTACTTTTTAAGTACATTCACATAATTTATGTAAAAAACAGAAATTAAAGAAATTTCTCCCATGCCACATTTTTATCACTCCAGCTAAAAATCTGCCCACAGACCTTGTAAGCAAAAGGGTAGAAACAAAGCTTCATTATCCAAAATATGTCAAAACTTAATAGGCCAAAGGAAGCTTTGGAGACTGTCTTTAATTCCCATATAAGGCTGACTAAAAGGTTGCTTTTCCTCTAAATCACCATTTCTTGAGCTGTTACTAAAAACATTTGGTTGGGGGCCAGTGTAATACAACTGGTGTTGCTGAAAATATTTGGCAAAGACCATGGCTTGCCTGGTTGAATCTCAACTCTGTGACCTTGAGCAAGTTACCTAACCTCTCTGTGCCCCAGTTCCTTCCTTTGTAAAATGAAGACAAGAATAGTACTAACCTCAGGGGATTATTGTGAAGATTAAAAGAGTCTGTATTTGCAAAGCACTTTGAACATTGCCTGGCACACAGAAGCACTAAATAAGTATCTGGGATTATTATTAGCAAAAACAGAAATTTTGAAATAAGGACTCGTCAAAGTATTACAAACTCAGGCTTGTGTAAGGAACTCTATCCAGGGGCCAGCCCAGTGGTGTAGTGGTCAATTTTGCATGCTCTGCTTCGGCAGCCCAGGGTTCCCAGGTTTGGATCCCAGGTACTGACCTACATACCACTTATCAAGCCATGCTATGGCAGACATCCCACATATAAAATAGAGGAAGATGGGCACATGTGTTAGCTCAGGGACAATCTTCCTCAGCAAAAGAGGAGGATTGGCAACGGATGTTAGCTCAGGCCCGATCTTCCTCACACACATAACAGAAACTCTATCCACCTACTATTAGCAACTGCGATCTATCCATTTCTTAAGGAATAAGCAAATAAGGGATCTAGATTGCAGAGCAGATTCCTCTCCACAGTTTGAATGCAGTTCTGGATTTCAGTTTTAGTAAGTATCATGAATTTGTGGGCTTGGGGGACCCCACACCTGCTCAAAAGTTTCATTGGCTACCTATTATTCTAGGAAAATGAATTCTACTCTTCCTTATCCTCGGTTCTCCACAATATGGTCCCTAGGAATCTCTCCCATGTTAGCTACCACTAATCTCCTACCTGGCACAAATACATCACATATTTTCCTGTATTCATCTTGCTTAGAATTCCCTTAATTGACCTTTCTACTGGCCTAGGCCCCCCACTTCTTAAAGGATCTGCTCAGTTCCTATCTTTTCTGTGAGCATGTCTTAGAATATATTGCTTCTGAGTGATGTGTTCCTTCAATGAATTCCCATAGTATCTATATCATTTTTTTCTGCATAGCATGAGATCTCTTTTCCTTTTGTTACATTTTTTTAATGCCAGTATCTCTAACTACGTTGTAATTTTTTGTGTGCAAAGGCTCCTCTACACCCCTTTGTACCTCAAAGCCTGGCTCTGTACCTCACACAGAGCAAGTGTTAAGTAAGTTTTTATTAATGAAAATCTTTGGAAGTAAAATTCATGTTTATTTTTTGTTCCCATCCATCTCCTTCTGGCAATTTCTTAACCTTTCAACATTTGTTCCACTAGTGCTATGTACTATATGCTATATATTGGCTACTTGAGGTCCTGAAGAAAGCTATCTATTCCAATGTTTTAGACATTTTTATTTCATCCACACTTACCTGTGTTGTTAGTGAAAAAAATACTGGTCTAGGAGTCAGAAAATTTGGGTTCCATTTCTGTGTCTTTGTTGGTCCCTACATGTAATCATGGAAAATCCGAACTGGTCTGAAACTCAATTTTGTCTATAAAATCTATAAAATACTGATGATATTTTCCATCCTGACTTATTGTGAAGATAAATACATATAAATTAATGGACACAAATGACTGCATATATGGTTGGTCTGATTTCCTCAGGAATACATCAAAGTGACTGGCTTGTTGATCTAATGAAGTATGCCACATTGTAACTTAATGTATTACCTATTTCTGTTAACATTTATTTTAGAAGGGACTTCAGAAAACATAAAGTCTCAACTCATAAGAATGACACTAAAAAGATGAGCAAAGGTATTTGGGGACAAAAAGTTCCAGTTTTTTCAATCTTAAGCTAATACTCATGATTCAAATCAACAAATATTCGTTGAATGTCTATTATGTGCAAAAGAGCATCCTGAGTGCTGTGGAAAGTATAAAGGTGAACAGAATAATCAATCTTCTGTCTTCAAGGAATGAGAGTCAAGTCTAGTAGGAGACCAGTATGTAGCCAATTAATTCGAACAAGCTAGGTTTGGTAAAATTTATGGAAGAACCAACTTCAGAAAATAAGAGATTAATTCAGACTGTATCTGGAAGGTTTCTTAGAGGCCATGCATTCAATTAAGACTTAAAAGTTGGGAGAATTTCAATAAATTGGGAGGAAGAGGAGGTTTTAAAAAGGTGAGAATAACAGCATGAGCTGAGACAAAAATAAAGAGCATATTCTGGGACCGCAAATAGAATTTATCTTAATTCCTTGAATTTGTAGAGTGTTTTATAGCTTTCAAAGTGCTTTCACATATGTTGCATTATTTAGGAATTAGAGCAATCATGTGGAGGTTTATAGGAAAGGTGTATTTTATTTTACACATGAAGAAAGTGAGTTTTAGAGGAAACAAATGCTTTTTATAAGGTTATCAATTAATAAATAGTGCTTAAGAAGAAATCATGCTTAAGAAGATTACTCTGATAACAGTGTGAAGGGGAAAGTGCAGGGAGGATGGGAGTTAGGAAGTTACTGACATAGTCTAGGTGAAAAGAACCAAGAGTCTGCTCCAGAGTGGGTTTGCTTGCATGGTGAGGTGATTCTTTATAGACACTAGATGCACAATGCGTGAGATTTTGCTCTTAATTGGCTGTAAGGAAGGATAACAAGGAGAAGTATTAAAAGACTCGGAGGCTAGTCACATATAAACAAAATCTGGCTTGGCCTTGAGGGGAGCACATCAATGAAGTCTGTTAATGTCTTCAGTGTTACTCCCCAGCTCTTATTCAGCTCTCTGGGGAATGGTAAACCTAATTCTAATTCAAGATTATATTTGATCCAAATGTGTACCAGTACACAACACCTAAAGAGAAATAAGAAGTCCATGATGAATCAATCAGATTAATGATGACGGTGATGGTTTTAAAATTTGTTCACAAATTATTTGATACTCCTTCTTTCAAGGGATAAAGCTTAATTCCCCACCACTAGCCCCTTATGGACTGTACTGAATGACTGGATTCTAATGAATGGACATAGTGAAGGGGTGAGTATGTCACTTCAGAGACCAGGTAATAAAGAGCATCACAGTTTTCTCCTTGCCTTCTCTCTTGGATCACAAACTCTGGGGGAAGCCAGCTGCCATGTCATGAGAACAGCCAAGCAACCCCATGGAGAGACCCACAAGATGAGAACCCGAGGCCTCCCGCCAACAGTTATGCAAGTGAGCCATCTCAGAAGTGGATCTTCTAGCTACAATCAGCCTTTAGCTGTCTGCAGCCCTGGCCAACATCCTTACTGCAACCGCTTCAGAAACGCTGAGCCACAACCACCCAGCCAGACCGCTGCCAAATTTGTGACCTGCAGAAACTTGGAAATAACAAATGGGATAATTTGTTACGTAGCAATAAATAATTAATAAAAAGGTAAAAGTGAATAAGTCATATAGGACCCTCTTCCATCAAAGGGCAGAGATTATGACTGAATTTGACAGAATTCTTTCTTGAATATTTAGTAACGTGGGTAAACAACAATTAAACAAGAAAAGTACTTTGTACTTTGTAAAAGTATTTTGTAAAGTACAAAGATTCCTGAAGGTGATCCAGCTAACTTTTGACCACTAATCTCTCCCCACAAAGAGAAAAATTTAATACTTCTCAAATTTTTGAAATCAAGTCTTTAGTATATTCTAATTCAAGTCTCTAGTATATATACTCTAATATATATATACATATATTCTAATATATATATATATTCTGGTTTCACTACAGCACAGTGTGGTTAAGCTTATTACATCACTTATAAACCGACATTCTGTTTTAATGCGGTATATTTTAATTTTCAAAAAAGAATAGATTTTTCATTATTTACAAAATTATATGGAATCACTAGCTTCATATATTTGTATATATGCATCTTTGCATAAATTTGAAAAGCTATACATTGCCCTCAAATTTATATAGAGCCCTGCCTTTTACAAAGTAATTTCAAATAGCATTCATCTCTGGGCATCCCATAACAGAATGGCTGCAGGAATTTGGGTGGGACTCCCTTAGTTCAGCTGTATAAAAATGAAGGGGTTTTTAATACAGACACTAAAATATATGTGGCATATCAAGCAATATTTTCTAAGACATGCTAAACCTATAGGAGTAAAAAATAAAAGCTGTTTGTTCTAAAAACCCTCCTGTGTGCCTCTCCTCCCACTCACGTCCAAATAGGGCATACAAAAACCAGAGGCCCGCCAGACTGCCTGCGACAACCTGGGACTTTAGGCCAGAATAAGAGGACAAGGTCACAGATGTGCGTGTACTGAGTAACTCAAGGACATAGGCAAAACTTCAAAGCAAAGAAAAGAAAGTTGGCACTTCTGAGATCCCAACTGCCTCTGCTCTTACAGTTTAGCCAGGTTAGGTGAGTTCCACTATCCCTGGGCTGGCGTTTTGTCCATTGCAATCCCGTATCCGGACCCTAAGGGGTGAGCCACTGCGCTTGCGCCGCAGGGCCCGGCCAGCGCCGGCGGGGGAGGCTGACGGGGCGTGGCGTGGGCGGGGTCTGGGCGGGGAGTGGGCGGGGCCGGGCGCGCGGGAGATTTGAACTTCCCTTCCGCGGAGTTAAGGACCCGCGCAGAGAGTAGATTGCACAGCAGGTTTCTCGTCAGGGCCCTGCAACCAGTGGGCCACAGTGCCGGCTCGGGAGATGGTGGAGGGACCAGGCTGTACTCTAAGCGGAGAGAAAATTCGGGCGCGCGTGCGCCCGGGCCAGGCAGTGACGGACGTGCGGGGAAGCACTCTGCAGAGCCTGGGGGACCCCGGCCGGGGGGCAGCCTCGGTAGCTGTGGTCCCTTCCCAGGTGAGCAGTTCCTTTCACTTGCTATGGGGCCAGCAAGGGAAAATGGAATGAAGACCTCATCAGGTTTCCGGGGTCCAAAGTGTCATCTCTTTGCTCTGGTCCACTCTCCCTGGGGCGCCGCGTTTCCCAAAGTTCATCTTTACTGGAGGGAGAAGGCCTGCTAGTGCGCCTGCGTAGTAGGGAACTACTGTAGCGCTGGCTAAGGCTGCCAGAGACATGCCCAGATGGGAATTGAAGGAAAGTGTTATTCCATGTCACCTGGCTTGACTTACTTACAACCCACCAAAAGATGGTTTCCTTATGTCTATAGCTGCATTTTCTGCTGTTAATATTGTCAGATCTCTGCAACCTCTGACTGTTTCCTTCACATTTTTAGGGCATTAAGCCTTTAGCGTAAAATTCTAGCTTCTCGCTCGCCTAATATTCTGCAATTGATAAGTGTATCACAACCAGTATATAATTCTAAAATTGCGTGTAGAAAGTTTAGTACTAACCTTCCCACTCAACTTAATGTTGCCATCTAATGAAGGGGCAGTGACACCCAGTTCTGATTCCCTTAAGTGAATTTATTCCTTTTTAAAGTAAGTTGTAGCACAGCTTCTTGCCACTCAGGCATTCATTGCAGATGGTGTGATATTCATTTGGTAAGAATTTAGAACTTGGACTAAAAATATTCTGATTAAGCTATCATGCTTTAAAAGCCCTTTAGATGTATGGATGATTGTATTTCATGGATGCGTGCAATATTGTGCTGTATTTTAATTTCTCCTGCAAAGCTTTGTCATAGCCTTTGGTCCTGGAAGAAAAAGTTGCCTGCTATGAAATTAGCATATGCTTACAACTTGGAAGAAATGAAATTCTAAGTCTGAGAAAATACATTTTCAAACTTGGAAAAAAAATAAGTTTTGCATCTCCTTCCAATTGCCCTTGTATTTTATTTATTTTGACTTTATGTATCAGTGAGTACTCTGTATTCTCTTATTATAATATTTCTCAAAATCATTTCAGGCTACCACAGAGATGGATCTTGAGTGGTCTGTTAAGAATATTAATGTTTAGGGGCCGGCCTGGTGGCGTAGTGGTTAGGTTCACGCACTCCGCTCCGGGGGCCCAGGGTTCGCAGGTTCGGATCTCAGGCGCAGACCTATGCACTGCATACCAAGCCATGCTGTGGCAGGCATCTCACATAAAATAGAGGAAGATGGGCATGGATGTTAGCCCAGGGCCAATCTTCCTCAGCAAAAAGAGGAGGATTGGCAACGGATGTTAGCTCAGGACTAGTCTTCCTCACCAAAAAAAAAAAATATATATATATATATATAGATGTTTATAAAAATCACTCATTCAACAAAATTTTGAATACTCAAGGCACCTGGGGAACAAAAGCTAATGCTTCCCCTCGTGGAGCCTATGCTTTAGTTGGGAAGATACACAAACATTCATTGGATAAGAACATAACAAAATATAAATTGATAAGTTCTCTGAAGGAGAGATACATGGTTCTATGAGGACTTATAGGAAGGTCAGGGAAGGCTTTGCTGGGAAAGTAACAATTAAGGAATAGTGGGGGTCTCTGAAGTGTGGTAAGATCCGTTTACACTTTGAAAAGATCACTCTACCTTGAAAAGGAAAAATAAAAGACTGGAGGAAAGCCAGAGTAGACACTGCTCCCTCAGTTAGGGGATGACTGCAGGAATCCAGTGGGGGAGTGGCTGGAGCTTGGACCAGAGTGCTGGTGGTGGAGATGAGGAGAAGGAAACAGCATCGCTATTTCAGAAGTAAAAGCAGTAGGACTTGGCAATGCATATGACATGAATATGTTTATGGATATCATAATTTACATCAGTCAGCAATAACGTATTCTGTGTTGGGTTTTATGCCAGCTCCTGGGGATACAAAGATGAATAAGATAAAATTCGTGCTGTGAGAATCCAACTTAATGTTTTAAATAGATACACCTCACTGGTATTTAGGCCAAAATAGCATGAACATTTCCCTTAAGTTGTGATTATCTCTAGTGGCAAGGCATAAAGTGCCTTTGAAGAACTTCTACGTTTCATTTAGTTGTGAGAAATAATAACCGTATGATAAAGGATTAACTTGATTCTATAGAGGAGGAATGTGAGGCTCAGAATGAGTTTAAATAAGTTGCCCAAGATACATGACTAGTAAGGGGTTGAATTTGCAAAGCCTGCAGTCTTAGCCATAGCTCTTCTTGGTTATAAAAGATTCAGTAGGCAAGCGGCTCGTTCAATGGCAGGAACACCATACCGCTCAGTATGTAGTAGTGATTATTTATTAACTAGGGAAGTGAGACCTTGGCTTTTTGGCTATTTGCCACCATTTTTAGTTTTGTTCGATTTAGTCAATTCTCTTACCTCCTCTGATAATTCTCTTCTAATGGCTTCCATTCCCATGTTCAGATTGCACAAAAGAGTGCAGCCTGATAATATAATACAAATGCTTCATTAATGGTTGGGCAATTATTATTAACATTACTTGGAAGCAATACTAAGTAAGCTGTACCCCTTAAATAAAAAGCCTTGCACTTAAAGCTATTATGTTTGATACCTTGACAGAAAGAGGTATTAAAAATTGGAATAGGTCTTTGTGATTAGGATCAGGAATCTGCTTCTATGGGAACTGGGTTTGAAAATCAATATGGAATTAATAATCTCTTTGTGGTTACTGGGAAAGTTCTAAATATTTTGCCATGGCTTCCCCTTCTGGGCCTTTGATCTAAAAAAATAATAATCTTTGTAAACATGAAGGGTCTTTTGCATTTTAGAGAGTTGTTGGATCCGTGGTAAATTTCATCAAACCATGGTGGGTTGTCACAGACCTCTGGCATGATCCTTACTGTAACAGACGATCCCATGTTTCCTAGGCATTTATGCCAGAGAGTTAAAGCTATTTAAATGATTCTGCTTCTGGCTTGAAATCGTTAGTTTTCACAAGACAGCATTTAAAAATAATGTAATAACTTCATACTGTGTTCTTTACGTTGCAGTAAACATGGAAAAATACAAAGGTGAGTTAAAGAAATATTAATTGGGCATTGAAAAGAAATGATTTAAACTTCAGATAATCATTGTTCTGAAGAAGCAACCAAAAACACCACACCTGTGTCGCTGCTGCCATAATAAACCGGTTACTCTGTCATATAGTCTTCTCTTTGCTCCTGTTTGAAGTTCATTGAGAACATACCTTAATGCATATCTCCTTGTGACAACTGTTCCTCGTTTTGAAGAAGAAAGCCTAGCCATAGAAGACTCCAGCATCTGCTAGTCATGCATGCACTGTATTATTTCTCTGAGTTTTGATCCACTGTCCTGTCAGCGTAAAATTATGCAACAGTGTAAGCACATTGCATAAAACTCTGCAGGAGCTTGTGAAACCTTATGGTAAGAAACAATATTGGAATATAAATGAACATGTCTGGTTAATGAGCTGTGAAGAGTCAATCCTCCGATTTTAATTGTTGGGTGGATACAATATTTTAGGGGAATCGATATGTAATCTGCATATGTTTTCAATCTCCCGTCACAAAACAGGATATGAAACAGTTTATCTGCATTCATTTCGTTTGAAACATGGTCCTCTGCCTATTCCATCACTCCTTAAGATTTGATACATGTGTTTCATATGCTAGCTACTCTTATTCATCTTCCTACCTCCTTCACGGTGTCATGAACAGAGTAGGCACTTAATCAATGTTTGAATGGATGGAGAAGAGCAAAGTTTTGAATAGTGCAAAATGATTATGGATTTAAAAAAGAATTCAGTTTGGAATCTTTCATTATGAGTATGTCTATTTTGTTATCTGGCTTATATGGAAATTCCTACCTCAAGAAAAGAATGAAGCCACAAAGTAAAAGTTTCCTCCTTCTGTCCACTTCTTCCCCTTCAGAGCTCATTTTATTGCCGTTATATGAAGGAATCAGCCGTCCCCAGAGATTCATTTTCCCGCTAAGTGAAGCTTATTCCTTTAAATCCAAAGGGGTTTTAAAATTTTATAGAACATGCATTGTATACATCCTTACCTTCTTAAATGGATGCTGATAATGGTTTCACCTTAATGACACAGGATCATTATGATCAGCATTCAGCCCTATATGGAATCATGGAACAAGGGATAACAGAGAACAAGTAACAGTCTCAAAGATGAGAAAACTAAGGGAGGTGATTTTCCATGGCCATTGTAGCTTTTAATCCAACACTGAAGTATTTGGTATGATGTAGAGACAAGAACATCTGATCATCTTGATTTTGTATTCCAGCTTCTTTGTCACTTTCTTATCTGGAGATGCTCATACTCACATCTTGGATTATTAGGTCAGGATTAGATTAGAGGACATAAAACTCTTAGCTTAGTGCCTAGCAAAGTAAATGTCCTGATAATTGTTCCTTTTTCTCCCAGATCAGGGCTTTCTCACCAGACCCACTTATCTGAGGAACACCCTATTCCCTCATGAAAGGTTTGTCATCATTCGGTTCTCTCAAATTATGTACAAAGCGTTTAGCCTCTGAGTAAGCACTTGAAGGCTCTGCTGTTACAAAATTGTAGACTATGTTTTGATGTACAGACCTAAAGACCTCTATTTTGGTGCTTAGAGACCATTTTAAAATTAGGTTCTTGGATGGTTTAAATTGGTAGATAAGTGACCTCTGATTAAGAAAAGTGTTGTATTGGGGGAAAAAAAAAACATGTAGGAACAAAAGAGGAGAGACTGTAACAGTAAGTATGGTGTTTTTTTTCTCTGTGGGGAAAATATGTAATTGCACTAGAGTTGAAATATTTATCTATGGAAAAGTCTTATTCTGCTCTGAAAAGTTCATCTTCCTGTTCACCCATGGAGAGGCAGAATAAATGGTAATCGACACAATAAATCATGAGCTGTCTCTGAAGATGTATGTTGTTTTGACGATTTCATATTATTAAGCATCTTGAAAATGGGAAGGTGAACCCTTCTCAATCATACTTAAAATTGTGGCAAAGG